TGGATCAGACCAAAGGTTATTCTGGTCCAGCACTCAATACGCATAGTGGCACGCCGGCTGCCCACAGGATTCCTCAAGCAGGATGGGTGCAAGACTCTGCCTGCCCAACGTCCTCAGCAACTGCTCTGTGCAGGAGTGCCGCCTCTGGTAAAGGGGGTAGCACATAGCCCATAACCAGCAAAGCCAGTAGACACTGACAGTCTCCTCCCTCATGAATCACTCCAGTCCCTTGTTAAAGTCATACAAATTGGCAGCCGTCACCACTTCCCATGGCAGCAAACTCCATTGTTTAAATATACCTTATTCAAACAATTATTTCCTTTCATCTGTCCTAAACATCCCACCAATCAGCTTCATGGGATGACACCAAGTTCAAGTGCTGTGAGAGTGGGAAAAATGTCTCCCTCTCTACTTTCTCCACACCATGCATTATTTGTACATCTCTACCATGTCTCCCTTTATTCGCCTTTTTTCTAAGCTGAACAGTCCCAGTTGTCATAGTCACTGCTCACAGGGCAGTTCCTCCAGACCTGTTTCAGGTAAGGTGATCAGAACTGAATGCAGTATTTGTATAATGGAAGTAAGGTCTGTTCCATTCTTAATTATGCCTAACATGGAGTTTGCCTTCTTTACAGCAGCTGAGCGCTGGGTCAACATTTTAATTGTGCTGTCCATCATTACCCCAAGATCCCTTTCTTGTTCCATCACGACTAGTTCAGATCCCATCAGTGTATACCTGAAGTTGGGATTTTTTCCCACAGCATGTGTTACTGTACACTTATGTATACTGAACAACATTTGCTATTTTGATGCCCATTCTCCCAGCTTGGAGAGATCCCTTCAGAGTTCCTCACAATCCTTTTAGGTTTTACCCTAAAAAGTTTAGTGACATCAGCAAACTTAGCCATTTTACTCCCTACTCCTATTATTGGTCCTAATACAGCCCAAAACATTTTACCACCGGAGGCAGAACAAATGGCACAAAACCCACACTGGAATTTTTAAAATATGTAAAATGCTGACTTATCACCAGAGGGCAACATATGATCATTATACGTAAGGATCAGGACATGAAAGGAAAAGCGACAGATAGAGCTGAGATCTAGCTGAAACAGAACCATGAAATTCTTCTTTGGGGGTGATCAGTTGCAGGATAAGCAGGTGTATTGTCTGCTTATATGGATGTACTTGCCTCTGCTATGCTAACCCTAGTGCTCTTCAGATGTTTTGAATTGGTAGCCACCATAACCAATGTTCAAAAATGATGGCATAAACTAATTTTCAGTGAATGCTGCATAGACTTACAGATTTCTTTTTCCACACTTCCAGAAACTTGTAGAGTGGATATGTATCCCCTTTTACAAAGGACAGTCCTCCTGTTCTGTTCTGTTCTGTTCTGTTCTGTTCTGTTCTGTTCTATTCATTCATTTATACTGCCCCATAGCCAAGGCTGTCTGGGAAATTGACAAAAGTTAAAGAGACACATACTCACAAATTAATTTAAAAGAACAAAACTGCAATAGCAATTGCTATTGCTATTATTCTGCATAGAAGCATAGTAGCAGTACAGAATAAAATGGAATATATAAAAACAAACTAAAAATATAAAGTGCTAAAATGCCAGGAAAAGAAAAAGGTTTTCACCCAGCACTGAAAAGAATACAATGCCCGGGCCTGGCACAACTCTGTGGAGAGCTCATTCCAAAGCCATTTGTAGGGTTGACAGAGGACTGTCCTCTATTTTGAAGGTGTCATCTATTTGAAGGGCTGTCCTGACCAAGGCCACTTTAAAGATAAAAAACCAACAGAAAAGAGAACCTGGGAACCTTGAAGTTACCCATCAGAAACACTTGGACAGCTAGTCACTGTCTTCCGCACAATCGTGAGATGTACTACATTTGTATTTAAATTATAATGATCCCCAAATTTGCATCTATCTATATAAATTAGCACATGCAAATTAATGCACATCACTACCCTCTTTTGTCTTGGGTGGTGTTAAGTGCTCTTTTTGGACAATTCACAAGTACCCACTAAGTGGCTGTGGCAGAAGCTGAAAGACATTTCAGCAAACATACTCATCAATAGCTGCAAGTATTCTACCATGAGGCAAGAGCAGTTATGCTGCCTAGCTATTTTGTGTATTGGGTGCAAAAGTGCAAAAAGTCAGATTGACTTTGGGTAGGTAATCCATTCATTTTGCAATGAAACAGGCCAGATGAAGCCTTATAATGAACCAGTCTATTTATAAGGTGTTTGCAGTTGTCTTGGTCCAACTGGAAATAATTGTAAAAAGCTATAAACTCTTATAAGAATCAGAAGGTTACAAAATATATATTCATTATGTATTTATCTTTTAAAAACACACTCTGCCTTTCCCCTGGAGAGGTCAGCTAAAAGCAAAGATAAAACCTTGACAATAGTCAACCAGTAATACAGTTTCTGGTTTTCAAGGGCTCTTGGACAAAAGAATCCACTCTCTCATTGAGTCTACCTTCTAACCGCTATTGTCAATAACTGGCATTAAAGTTTAGTGACCTAAACAGTTTGGGGACAAATTACATGAGGGATCATTTCATCCCATCTATACCTGCCCAGAACCTTAAGATCAACTTCTGCTGACTTTCTCTGGGAGGCTCACCTGGTACCTACACTGTGATTTTTAACCACTATGTGAAAACCTTTTTATTTTCCAAGGCATGTGGGGTTTTTCTATTTCTCTTTTAATTCTGGCGTTATATTTAAAGCTTTGTGCTTAATCTAGGTTCTATTTCATTATTATTTTTTATTTTTGTATTTTATTTATTATTTATTTGCGATATTTATATGCCGTCCTATTGCAAAAGCCTCAGGATGGCTTACATAATAAAATACAAATATCAATATAAATATTGATATTATTTATTGATAACTGCAGCACTCTGGCTGCAGTTAAAAATATAATATTAAAATACCATATTAAAACTTATTAAAATATTGATGAAATAAAAAGGTCTTAACCTGGCGCTGAAAAACATATAATGACGGCGCCAGGAGGACCTCTCTGGGGAGCACATTCCATAGATGGGGCGCCACCACAGAGAAGGCCCTCTTCCGAGTGCTCTGCCTCCTAATATCATACACAGAGGGTTCCCGGAGGAGGGCCTCTGCTGCCGATCTCAGGGAGTGGGAGGGCATATATGAACACAAGTGCTCCTTTAGATGACCAGGTCCCAAGCCGTTAAGGGCTTTATAGGTGATAACCAGCACCTTGAATTGAGCCCGGACTTCGATGGGAAGCCAGTGGAGCTGATAGAGGACTGGGGTTATATGAGAATAATGCCCAGTCCCCATCAGCATCCTGGCAGCTCTGCTCTGCACCATCTGAAGTATCCGGACTGTCTTCAAGGGCAGCCCCACGTAAAGCGCGTTACAGAAGTCCAACCGGGAAGTAACCAATGCATGTGTCACTGTTGCTAGGCAACCTTCCTAAGCAATCTTCAGTCCTAATTTATTAAATGTTTAAATTATTTATTTTATTAAATGTTTAAATTTTTCTATTATGTTTATCCTCTTGTATTTAATTGCTGTAGACCACCTAGACAGCTTTGGCTATTGGGCAAAATAAAATAACTACTATTGCTTCTGAGTCTCTTTATCCATTCACTTGCTGGACAGAGAGAGAGAGAGAGGCAGGGAGCAAGTGGGCAGAGCCGTCTCCTGCTTCACCATCGCTGTTGCCTAGGACAGAGCAAAAGACAGGTGACAAGCAGGATGCAGCCACGAAGAGGAGGAGCAGATCCAAGGACCACCCGTCTGTGTGCTTCTGCTTTAGAAGCGGGCCATCTACAAGTGTCCAGCCATGCCTGTCCTCAACAGGCAACAAGCTTTGTAGGACTTCTCCAGCTTGGAAGTTACGTCATGCAAAAGGGCTGGTGAGTGGGGAGGTTGAAGGAAAGAAAGAAAAGCCCAATGTGAACTTTCAGAAATGTAAAGTGCATAATTTCAATGTTGAATTAGAAACTTCTATGTTATGTCTCATGAGATTGTAACTATGGGAGGAGAATGTAGAATCTGTGTGGGAAGGGGAACATGTTGCAAGTTTGCACTGCCCTTCCAAAAATACCATACCTGGGACTGGCTATACATCTAAAAGTATTAGGACATAAGGTAATCTACCCTTCCTGTCTCCCTACTGACATTTTCGAAAGCAGGCATACCATTGTTTCTATCGTATACTGCAGAATTACTGCATTACTCATGCAGTTAGGCATAAAGCTCCCGTTGTCCTCCAATTTAAAAAGCCAGTAAAAAACAAAAAGCCTGTCTTATGAAGCCATCCTCCACAACCAGAATGACAGTGTGATAAACCACTCTAGCTCATTCAACGTGCTGCTTTTGACACATGTTGCCAATGTACCTGAGAGAAACATGCATGATCTTCTCCCACACCAGACGGGTGTAATGCAGTTTGAGACAATGACAGAAGAACCAAGAACTGAAACGGGACATTTCTAGAAGCCAAATGACAAATCAATTCATATTGGAGTCTAATATAAATCATTTCAAGAAAGTCAAGCTGAATTCTGTTGGCAAGAGCTGCTTCCCCATTTACGTTTGTTGTCAAGGTGAGTTAGATCTCATATATGGGCTCATTCACTAGAAAGAGGGGACAGCTTTTCTGGACAGCCACTCCTGCCTTGTCTTCTGCCCTGCCCCAAACTCAGCCATTTTGCTTTATGTTGTCAGACCATTCCAAAAATATGCTCATGCCCAGCATGCAAGGTCTCATTTTGACTAAACAGTTGTGTTTCGTTCAAGAAATGTGCCACTGGAAGGGCATTTTCTTTGCAGCTTTAAATTATCATGCCTTTCATACAGAATGCACACAAGCACATCTGTCTGTTAAGAAATAGGCTCCATCAGTTAACTATTTATTAATATTGCTATTATCTTGTCCTAATAATCCATCAACATCCATGCTTTCCAAAATACTCTTCCTTTGGTGCATTAATTCTTTGTCAAAAGAGCACTTTTCCCTTCTTAATTTTCTCCTTATTTTGTGGCAGTTCATTCATCCTTTCTTCACTGTAGGGTTTGCCAAGGCTGGCTGACTGTGGTGGTGTAGGTGGACTGAGAGCATTAGGGGACAACAGATGGAATGAACTGAAAGAAAAGGGAAATGCAGACAAGGAGGCCATGGAAGACAGCAAGGGAGGAGAGAGTTTAGAGGCAGAAGTGACCACAGGAAGCACTGGTCCAATGCTGCCATTAGGTGGTGCTCTCAGTGAAGATGACTCAGTGTGAGAAGCAGCACTTCTGCTCTGATGGTGGCCTTCTGAGGAGGAGGATGCCCCGTTTGTAGTAGCATGCCCATTCTGAGGCAGAAGCAATGGATGGGAAATATGGGGATGATGTCCAAAGGCACCACCCCAAGGAATCTGTCCAAGCCCTGAGTGTGAATTACTCGCTGCTTCCCGTTGAGAGGCATAGTTATTCAGGTGAGAAACAAGACGGACACGAAGAGGATCAGACATGTCCAGACCCTCAATAATGCTAAGATAGCGGGCTACTTCAGCCAAGCACTCTCGAAAACCTAGGCTCCGGTAGTCCATAGCAAGAGCGTGGGCATCAAAATAGCCTAGGAGAAAGGAACAAGACAATGACGTTTAAGGAAGGAAACACATTTCCATTCATTGTCTCTTGACCATCTATCTCAGAGGCAGGCAACTTGTGGCCCTCCAGATATTTTAGCCAACTCCATAATCCCTCAACATCAGCTATTCTGGCTCAAGCAGATGGCATTTGCAGGGCAAAACAAGTTGCCTACTCTGAACTAGTTCAGTCAGACAGCTATACTTTGCCTTAAACATACTAGAAAGTCAATACATTGCCAAGTGGACACAAAAGCATGAACTCTTTGCTGTGCAGTTCCCCCCACCCCACCATGAATGGCAAACAGAAAAATATACAGACATGCTGTTTGACATTCATTTTGCAAAGTTACAACTAAAAGCAACATTGTCAAAAATATGTGTGAAGCACTTTGAACAGTTGCACCACAATCCTAATCAAGGATGGATTTATTTGATTTATTTAAAGCTTTTCTATACCATCCAACTACAACAGTCTCAGGATGGTCTTACAATAAAAACAGATTAAGTAAAGCATTAATCCAATTAATAAAACCCACATTAAAACCTAATCAACCTTAAAATAATGGGTGAATAAAAAGATTTTAGCCTGATGCTGAAAGGAATAGTGTCAGCGCCACGTGAACTTCTCTGGGGAGTGCATTCCATAGCCAGGGCACCACCGCCAAGAAGGCCCTTCTCTGGGTAGCCATCCTCCCAGTCTCCTTCAAGGAGGGCTCCCAAAGAAGGACCTTCACACCAGATCTTGAAGAGTGGAAAGGCACATAGGGAAGGAGATGCTCCTTCAGATAACCATGTCCTAAGCCATTCAGGGCTTTATAGGTCATCACCAGCACCGTGAATTGGGCTCAGACTTCAATTGGCAGCCAGTGTAGATGGTAGAGAATTGTCATTATATGGGCATACCTGCCAGTCTGATAACTTCCTAGCCACTCTACTCTGGACCAATTGAAGTATCCAGACCGTCTTCAAGGGCAGGCCCATGTGTTACAATAGCCCAATTGGGAAGTTACCAGAGCATGGGTCACCATTGCTAGGCACTGCTCATCCAGGTAAGGACCCAGTTGATGGATCAGCCAAAGCTGAAGGAAAGCATTCCTCGTGACTGCTGCCACCTTGGACTCCAGGGACAGCTCTGGGTTGAAGAGCACTCCCAAACTGCACACCCTGTCCTTTAGGGGGAGTGCAACCCTATCCAGAACAGGGCTAAAATCACTTCCCCAAAAGGCTGAAACACCTCCCAATAGGACCTCCACCTTGTCTGGCTTAAGCTTCAATTTATTGGCCCTCATCCAGCCCATCACCCAGGCTAGGCACCAGTTAAGGACAGTGAAGGATTGTTGCTGTGCACTGCCAAGTCATCTCTGACTTACAGCAAGCAGATGAATTATTCTCATGTAAAGTGGGACCAGAACACATTCCTTAAGTCGTATTGTTATTGTTATGAAAGAAGAAGGAATGAAGCACTGGCAGCAGCACTTAGGTTGCAGTGTTAAGAGTGTTTAAAGCACTTCATTATATCCTTGCATTCCTTGCAACAGCCCTGAAAATTAGGAGAGTACTATCATCTCCGTATCACAGATCACTACAGAAATCCAACATGGCATAGTGGTTAAGAATGCTGGACTGGGACTTGGAAGATCTGGGCTCTCGTTCCCACTCAGCCATGGAGCTCACCGGGTGACTTAAGGCCAGTTACGGACTCTCAGCCCAACCTACATCACAGGTCTGTTACTGTTGTGACAGAGAGGAGAATGAGAATTATTTAAGCCACATTGAATTCCTTAAAAGAAAGCATGCTCCACTGTGTTCAATTCAACACATTCAGTCCTCATTGATCAGTTTTGGCGATTCCCCCAATACACTCTCATACAAGCTTATTTTCCTAATGATTTTTTGAACATCTACACTTTTGAGGGGTTCCCCAAACCCTACTGATGGTTCCCTCTAGTACCGAGGAAGTGGTGGTGGTAACTTATATACGTTTTCCTAGTAAGAAAATAGGTTTGCCATTAGTATACAAGGTTAACTACACACATAGAGGTTGAGTAGGAGACCTTACCTTTTCCTCCTGCTGTATGCAACATTTTCAGATGATCTACAGTCATTTGTAGGATTTCTGCCTTCTCCAATTTAGCTGAACCCTAAGAAAAGACGACAAGTGTAAAGGCAGCTTGGTCTTAGCCAAGCAAAAAGGCATGCTCAGAAGAGCATACTGCAGCTTGCGTGAGTCACAGCAGCACCCCGAGCCACCAGAACATTACCTGCTTTTCAAAGGCACTAGGCACCAGACGCCTTAGCTCAGATAGGCTGTTGTTGATCCGATCACGGCGACGCTTTTCAATTATCTAAAAGAAAAGCGGGATACCATTTAGGAACAGCCCTTAGGGAAAGGGAATGTAGAGCAGAACAGAGTGAGACTTACTCCTCGGCGTCTTTTACGAGCCAGGATCTGGGAAGTGGTTGTTGGAGACATTGACCCTGGAGCAGAGCTCAAGTTTCTGAAACCAGCAAGAAAGAACGGAGTCACTGAAGTGCAAAAATGAGAGAAGGGGCAAGGAGGGGATGGGAAGGGAATTCCATCATGAGCAGCTAACATGGCCTTCCCCAAGCTAGTGCCTTCCACTTATGCTGGATTATAACTCTCAGCATCCACCAGCCAGTCCTCCTGGGTGTCTAGCTCAACACACCTGGAGGCTGGGGGTGTCTGAACTAAAGGAACAGGGCAGCATGGAATCAGAGGCAGGACAGAGACTTCTGTTCCCAGATAACACCAGTGCTAAAGGCAGAGTGTAGGCAGCAGGCCCCAAGGCTCAGTCTGATTTGTGCCAGGAGCCATCCCTTCTTCCCTGTTTTCGGTGCCAAGATCGTGTCCTGTGCCAGCAACAAGCGCATGTGTAAGACTGCAGCCGCACCCTTTGAAAAAGTGAGAACGAAGGAGACATAAAGAGGGCTGCCTCGGGCACATACAGAGCACTGCCACCAACCCACCCCCGCAAGCTGCCACCTCCGATTAACTGAAGAACCGATCCCAAGCCCGTGTATATTCTGTAGGCTGCCTTGACCAATCCCTTCCACCACCATTTGCTATTTGAAGCATTAACAGATATATATTGGGGGGGGGGGGGCGTTAAATCGCAACGAGTTCAATGGAACCAGTTTTCGCGTTAACAGGCATCAGAGGGTGCAGCGAAATCCTATGCGTATTTACTCGCAAGTAATTCCCACTGTGTTCAATGGGGTTTGCTCCCAGATGAGCGGGTCAAAGTCACAGCCTTAGCCTTCGATTACTGCACTGGGGGCGGGAGGCGAATGGAGGTCCTTCGGGTCTCAGCAGCGGGAATTTGCCTGCCTAGAGCCACAGTGATCATAGCACCTGACATGGCAAACTCGGCGGAACCGCGACCGCCCCTGCGCGACGAACCGGGGACCCACCGACTGTAACGGCCTGCCTTCCAACCACACCCGGCCAGTATCCCACCAGAGCCCCCTCACCCATTCTCGTCCGCGCTCTCCTTCTCCACCTCGATGGGTTCATCCAGCTCCTCGCTATCGGAGGAGCTGTAGTCCGGGTGCCCCCGTTTCATTTTCGCACGCTTCTGCGCGACCAGCCGGGAGAGAAAGAGAACGCTTTGCCTCCCGCCTGTGCGAAGAAGTGGGTTGGGTGGCGATTTCCCGGTGCCAGCTCAACGCACTCGCCGCCGTCACTCGCCTTCTGGCTCCGTCTCCCCCATCCCGTTCCCACGCTTCGCCTCTTACGCGAGGGAGGGGCGGGCTGGGAGGCGCGCCAGGCGCTCCCGGCCACATACGGCTCCGCGTAGCCATTTGCAATCTCGGTCCTTCTGGTTGGCTAAGCGTCTGCAGTAGCTAGCCAATGGCTGCTGGACTAGAGACCACTCAATAGCACGCCTTCTGCCCGCGCTGCTTCCGATTGGCCAGCCGTTCTCAGATTGGATACACGGCCGCGTTCGAAGCTTGTTTCCCCCCTCCCGGTCCCTCTCGCGCTTCGTCTCTTCTGCTTGTGCAATTGGCTGGGCCTGGGGCCAGTTGGGAGCCTTTGGAGCCACACGCGTGGCCGGGCGGCCGTGGGAAAGTTGCTCTGTGCCCGGCTGGCGGCCAAGCGGGGCTGGCGGCGGCGACGGCGCTGAGCGGGGCGTGCATGAGCGGCGGCTGCCGCGTGTGAACCTCCCCTGGGCGCGGGGTGGAGCGGGGATGGCGCTCGGGCCAGCGGTTGTTGTTGCACCGCGCTCTACCACCGGCATCGCAAAGTGCCGCGGCTCTGAGCCGAACCGCAGACGGGCTGAGCGATCGCTTGGCAACTACGGTCCCTCCCGCCCAGGGAGTTGGAAGCCTCTTGGCTGTTCAGCTCTGGCTGCCTTAGCACAGCATCAGAGGGCTGACCGAACTCTCATCAGTAAACTGTACGGGGGAATTTCTGGAGCCAAGTTGCTTGCAGGTTCAAATAGCGCTTCTCGTAGAGCTTGGCCTACGGCATTTCCAAAATCTTAAGCTGTGCTTGCAGCTGACTACAACTATTGCAATTCGTTTCAAAAGTGAACACGTGTATGTTCTTTATTACTTTGGCAAGTGTGAATGGACCATTACAAATAGAACTTCTGTGTTTCTTCGTATCACACACTGCATTTTTTTTCTTTAGAGTGCATTCACACATACACTTGTATTTGATTTGATGCATGTATGTGTGCCTGCTAGCAATTTCATAATGGAGGCCTGGGTGTCAAAATTTCTTTCAGCTTAAGGGCAAGATTCACTTTTGGAAAAACTCTCAGGTGGATGCATTCCAGTGGTTAGTTGGGTGAAATGCAAAGTGGTGGAGGCAAAAATAGCAACTGTTTTAGCTTAGAAGCCAGAAGCTACACCTTAGTATTACAGCCTTTGAGAAAGGAAAAAAGCTGCATAGAAACAGGAAAACCACCAAGTGATGGTGTGTGGGAAGGGAGTGTGGGGAACCTCAGATGTACAAACTGTGGTCCCAGGTGGTCTGGATTTGGTCCATGGGGCTGATGTTCAGCATTCCTGTGCATTTATGTTTAAAATAAAGCTGTATGTGTATGGGGCATTATGTGCATAAAGGACTTAGTTGCACTCGTCCTGCAAGCCAGTTGTGACGTGGTCCAAACCCATATAAACAGCAGAAATGGGCCATAATTCAGATAATGCTTTGAAAGCATGTGGTTCTGTTTGTGAATGTAGCTTGGGCCTAGTCAGTTATATAGATGACAGGGCATTCTTAAACACTGTATTTGTCAGTCTCTGCTTCTTGGAGTAATGATGGGAATACAAGTGAAATAAATCCATGATAGATTTGAAAGCCAGTGTGGTATAGTAGTTAAACTATGACTTGGAAGACCTGGATTCTAGTCTTCACTTAGCCTTCAAGTTCACTGGGTAACTTTGGGTCGGTTATTTGACTCGCAGCCATTGTGAGGATAAACTAGAGAGGAGGAGGATTATATAAATTGATTTGGGCTCCTTGCAAGAGGGGGAAAAGGTGGGATATAAATATGATAGACAAACCCTCAATACAACCCAAGTGGTTTTGGCACAAATACCCATTTCTTCTTTGGCTGAATTCTTGGTACATACACTTCAGTGTAAAAAGAACTGTTTACATTGAATTCTTTTTACATCATATAGATAGAAGCCACACACAATGATTTTGCAACATTGATATTTGTTTCTTATTTTTAGTGCTCTGGTTGACCTAAGGGATATCTGAAATTCTTCAAGACTCTAGGAACTTAAAAGAGCATTTATGGGGATAACCAACATTTAGGGGTGTGCGTGTAAGTACAGTGGTCATTTAGTCCATCCTCCAGGTGGGGCAGCATCCCTGATTAGGGGACTTCCTTTCTGGCTTCTTTTCTGGGAAAGAGAGAAAATCCCTGTAATATTATCAGGATGTATTTCTCTTATCTATTGTTCTTTTGACCAAAAAGTAAATTTTTTTAAAAGGATAAATATTCTTGAACTCATCCATCTGCTTGCATGCAGCAAAGGGTCCAAAATACAACAAGAAGAAATGGGGCAGACTACTCCAAAATTTTATTAAAATGGAAGATCTTGCATTAATGTACTTTAGAAAGTGTGTTTATAGAACAATTATATTATGTACTTGTTGTGAGCCGCCCCGAGGCTTTGTTGCGATGGGGGCGGCATAAAAATGTTTTAAATAATAAAATAAATAATCCATTCCAGGACTCTGGTCATGACCCAGATTGGTTGTGAGCCAAGTTAAGTTTCCCCATAAGGTTCAGTGTAAATAAGGTTAATCCGTTCTGTAACTTTTTTAAAAAAAATCAAAAATGTGAAGAAGCATAGTGACAAAGAACAACAAAGATTGCGGCCATCCCCCCCCCCCCCCAGCACTAGTGAGGCCATCTCCCTGCCCCCACAGCTTGACCCTGATCACTCATCATCCCTGCACACGCCCATTATCCTGGCGCGCTGGGGAGGGAGACACAGGCGTGATCGCGGGCGCACTGGGGGGAGCAACGGGTACGAACACGGGCACACTGGGGGGGAGAGGCAGGTGCGATCGTGCCTCGGGGGGAGATGGCTGAGATCGCAGTTCCGCTCCTGCAGGAAAGGGGCGCAATCATGGGCGCGCTCAGGCAGGAAAGATGGGCACTTTCTCAGCCATGTCCTCCCCATCCTCAGCATGATCATGGCCATCTCCCCACTTTGGGGGGTGGGGAGATTGCTGAGATCACAGTCGTCACCCAATGTGGAGTTCATGACCTGAGTCAAAATTTTTATGAAATTTTTGTGCGTGACCCGATTTGGTTGTGATCTGAGGCGTTCATGAGCTGAGGTACTGCTGTAGTTAAGTACTTGCAATGAATTGGATGGGGTGCTGAAAGGAGTGATTACCTTATTGGAACCTGTGAACCAGAGCTTGCCAAATCCTTTTCTAGCCACTGCCTGACACTTCCCCCTCTTTACTGCCTGCCATTTTACACCAGGGCAAGAAGGAGGAGAAAAGAATTGAGTGGCAGGATACTGATACAGCCTACAAGCTCCCAGCCCTTCACTGTTTAAATTAGCTCGTTTTCCTGCTTTTGGTTTGGGTCAGGATGCCATAAGATGTTCAGACCTGTGGGTTTCTTTTATACATGTTGCTCACATCCCTAAAGGGCTTTTTCAGCAGTTGAGAACTGTCCTGCGTACAGAGGTGCATAACCCATGCCCTTTTGCCTCCCATTTTCCCCTTCACCTCTTCTGAGGGCATACTTCACAACTTTCAGGAGAAGTTCAGTCTCTGTCAGGGAAACCAAGAATCATCCACCTGATTTGTCCAACATTTTCTCTTTGCAAAGCCAGCTTTTGGGGTAAATGTTTATTTTTGAATAGATGTCCTTTCCTGTTTCATTCTCTGGTAGGCTGTTGCATCAATCTAGTCAAAATAACACTGAAAGGAGGGCAGATTGCTTTCCTGTTCAGGAATTCACTACTGGAAATCCTCTACTGTTGACCTTTGAACTGTAGTGGTTCTGAAAAAATAACTTTGTAAACTCTTCTCATAATGTTGTTACTTTGTTCTCAGATGAGCAACAGCATTGACCTAGGCCACCCATGATATTGAGATTTGAAAGAATAGTAGAGTTGGAAGGGGCCAGAGGGCCATCAGGTCCAACCCCCTGGTATTGCAGAACACTCTGTGTGGCTAATGGGGCCAACTAAAAATCAAATAAGTTACACCATTCCATTCAGGTAACTGTCCAGACACTTTTTGAATGCCTCCAGCAAGGGTGAGCCTACAGCATACTGCTCTGACAGTGAGGAAGTTCTTCCTGGTGTCTAATCTGGTTTCATTTAACTTAAGGCAGTTATTCCATGTGCTGCATCCTGGAATGAATGAGAAAAGATACTTTCCTTCCTCTTTGTGACAGCCTTTCAGGTACTTGCAGAGTGCTATCATATCACTCCCCAGTCTTCTCTTTTTGAGGATGAACATATCAGTTCTCTCAGGTTTTCCTCCTAGGGCTTTGCTTCCAGTTCCTGAATCATCCTTGTTTCCTTGGTTAAGTCTCAGTCTTATCTTCCTGATCTGTAAACTGTAGAGAATATTATCAACCTCCTGCCCCCCACACACACTTTCCCCAAGAAGTTTAGGGTAGTGTATCTTCCAAATAACTCTTGTGAGATAGGTTAGTCAGAGGTGGGGTAAATTAGTTGAGTGAGCTTCATGCCAAGGATTTGAACCCAGCTTAAACCTTTTAGCCACTACATCACACTGGCTCTGAAAGTAAATTGAGTTCAGAGACATACAATAAACTATGTTATTCTCATGATAACCTTGTAAAGTTGTCTAGTCTGAAAGATTGTGGCTGGTACAAATCTCCAGTGAACTTTGTGACTATGGACTAGAACTAAGCTGGTTTTCTTCGCTGGATTTCTTGCATACCATATCCAGATAATTTGGGACAAATAGTATCAATTTTACATGGTATAAGTGTGTGCCTGTCCCTTGAAAGAGATTATGCTGAAAAGCAAAATAGCCCCAATGAAAAACATATTTCAGAATGTTTGTGCATGTCAGTTAACTCTTCATACGACAGCTGCGCAACCTCAGATACTCAGATGCTGTGCTTTGTTTTATTTGTTCTCTTGTAAGCCATCCTGAGACATCAGTAGTGGACAGGTTAGAAAAGCTTTAAATAAATATTCATCATGTCCACATGCCCTTCCCTCCATTTCTTTTCACAGGCTACCCAGCCATA